CATCAATCTGATTATAAATTGCTTCATCTTTCACTGGTTCTAATAAGAAAGATCCTAATGAGAATCGAATAGTGAACGATACAGCCTATCCGATTCGAAGAGATGAGTGTTTGGTGAAGTGTTAATTTGCAAGTAAAGAAAAGACAAAAAAAAAAACATAAATATATCAGTTGAAGACGAGTCCGTTATTGCGTCAGTCATGGCTGGTTGTGGAAAAAGCCAGTGGAGGTAACTGGCTTGCCAAAAAAATGGCGGGTCAGTGTATAATGATAAAAAAAAATGTACAACAGAACACCGGTTGTCTTGTTAGAAAAGATTAGAAATGTTAGCGGAACTTTACCAAGAAAGTAAAAAGGTGGGAAGAAGGTATCGCTCTCCAAGTCAGGAGATCGGTGATTAGAACGTTCAATAAAAGATGGTGTGGAGGAGGAAAGAAAGATAGAATATACTAATAAAATGAGAAAGAAAGAAAGAAAGAAAGAAAGAAAGAAAGAATGAAAGAATAGGTAATGGCAATAGAAAAGAAAGAAAAATACGAACAATAGAAGTGGAACTACAAAGAAAGAAAGAAAAAAAAGAAAGAAAGAAAGAGAGAAGAGGTAATGACAATAAAAAGAAAAAAGAACAACAGAAGAAGAACTAGAAAGAAAGAAAGAAAAAAGAAAGAAAGAAAGAAAGAAAGAAAGAGGCAATAGCAATAGAAAAGAAGATAAAAAAGAAAGAACAATAGAAGAGGAACTGGAAAGAAAGAAAGAAAGAAAGAAAGAAAGAAAGAAAGAAAGAAAGAAAGAAAGAAAATGTAATGGTAATAGAAAATAAAATAAAAAGAACGATCAATAGAAGACGAACTACAAAGAATTGAAAGAAAGAAAAGAAAAGAAAAACTGGAGAAGAGATAGAAAAACGAAGAAAGGTGGAAAGAAATTAACAAGTATGTGCAGTGTTTGATAAGAAATATTAGAGAGTAAAGAAAGAAGGGTCAAAAAAAGAAAAGGAGTTGAATAAGAAAGGGTAAGAAAAGAAAAGAGGTAGAAAAAGATGAAAAGAGGAGTAAGCGATTATAGAGAGAGAAGAAAGAATATGAATGAAAAAAGAAAGAGAAATACCTTAAATGATTATTTGAAGAAAGAGAAGAAGAAAATTAAAAAAAAGAAGTAAATTAAGAAATATGGCAAAGATTTCCCTGTCGATTTTATAAAACTGGAAGAAAAAGGAAAAAGGAATAGAAGAAGATGATGATGATGATGATGATGATGATGATGATACAAAAAAGAAAAAGAAGAAAATAATAATAATAATAATAATAATAATAATAATAATATTACTGATGATGAAAAGATAGGAAATAAGGGGGAAGAAGGAAATGATAGGGGGAAAAAAAGATAAAAAATAGAAAAAGAAGAAAATAACAACAACAACAATAATAATAATAATAATAATAATAATAATGAAAAAGGGAGATAAAAGATAGGGAAGAAAGAAAAGAGGAAGGGGAAGATGAGGAAACAAAAGAAGAAAAAATCCATATGCATAAAGAGAAAACAGAAAAGAAGTAGAAAAGAAAAGGTGGTGGAGTGAAAATGCGGAAAAGTTGCCAAAAGATAAATGAGATTAGACCAAAAACGAAAAATGAAAGGAAAAGAAGGCGGGAAAAAAATTGAAAGAAATAAAGACGAACAGCCGAAAGCAAGTAAAAAAAAAAAGTCATGAAAAAGAAAGTAAGAAAATTAGAAAGAAACATAGAAAGAAAAGTAAAATAATACAGACAAATCTGAGAGAGAAATGAGTTCACAAAAAAAAAAAGAAAAAAGAAAGAAAGAAAGAAAAAGAAAGAAAAGAAAGAAAGAAAAAGAAAAAAGAAAAAAAAAGAAGAGAGAGGCAAACAAGCAAAAAAGAGAGAAAAGAAAGAGCAGAAAGGCAGACAGGCAAAAAGAAAAGAAAAAAGAAAAAAAGAAAGAAAGAAAGAAGAGAGAGGCAAAACAAGCAAAAAAGAGAAAGAAGGAGCAGAAAGGCAGACAGGCAAAAGAAAAGAAAGAAAAAGAAAAGAAAGAAGAGAGAGCAAACAAGCAAAAAGAGAGAAAGAAGGACAGAAAGGCAGACAGGCAAAAGAAAGAAAAGAAAGAAAGAAAGAAAGAAAGAAAGAAAGAAAGAAAGAAAGAAAGAAAGAAAGAAAGAAAGAGGCAAACAAGCAAAAAGAGAGAAAGAAAGAGCAGAAAGGCAGACAGGCAAACAGAAAGAAAGAAAGAAAGAAAGAAAGAAAGAAAGAAAGAAAGAAAGAAAGAAAGAAGAGAGAGGCAAAAAAGGAAAAGAGAAAGAAAGAAAGAAAGGCAGACAGGCAAAAAGAAAAAGAAAGAAAGAAAGAAAGAAGAGAGAGGCAAACAAGGAAAAAGAGAGAAAGAAAGAGCAGAAAGGCAGACAGGCAAAAAGAAAGAAAGAAAGAAAGAAAGAAAGAAAGAAAGAAAGAAAGAAAGAAAGAAAGAAAGAAGAGAGAGGCAAACAAGGAAAAAGAGAGAAAGAAAGAGCAGAAAGGCAGACAGGCAAAAAGAAAGAAAGAAAGAAAGAAAGAAGAGAGAGGCAAACAAGGAAAAAGAGAGAAAGAAAGAGCAGAAAGGCAGACAGGCAAAAAAGAAGAAAGAAAGAAAGAAAGAAAGAAAGAAAGAAAGAAAGAAAAAAGAGAGGCAAACAAGCAAAAAAGAGAGAAAGAAAGAGCAGAAAGGCAGACATGCAAAAAAGAAAGAAAGAAAAAAAAAGAAAAGAAAAGAAAGAAAGAAAGAAAAAAGCAAAAAGAGAGAAAGAAAGAGCAGAAAGGCAGAAAAAACAGAAAGAAAGAAAGAAAGAAAGAAAGAAAGAAAGAAAGAAAGAAAGAAAAAATGAGGCAAACAAGGAAAAAAGAGAGAAAAAAGAGAAAGAAAGGCAGACAGGCAAAAGAAAAAGAAAGAAAGAAAGAAGAAAGAAAGAAAAGAAAAAAAAAAGAAAGAAAAGAAAAAAGAAAGAAAGAAAAAAAGAAAGAAAAGAAAGAAAGAAAGAACACGTGAGTATTAATATTGGTAAAAGAAAGAAAGAAAGAAAGAAACAAGAAGACAAAGAAAAAGAAACAAATCAGCCGAAAGAAAGGTAACAAAAAAATGGAAAAACGTAAATTAACAAAAGAAATGTAACAAAGAAAATATATAGAAAGTAAAAAAGAAAGAAAGTAAAAAAGAAAGAAAGAAAGAAAGTAAAAAAGAAAGAAAGAAAGAACAAACAAACAAAAAAATAAACGGATAGAAAACTAAAAAGAAACTAAATATTACACAGGAAAATGAAAAATAAGATGTGTCAGGTCATAGCAAAATTTCTCAAATCTAATAGCGATAGATTGGATTATATATTTGCTATTCTAAAAGGTCTAAAGATTAATGTACACGAAATCGTGTTCATACATTTTAAAGGAGGAATATACGTTGTCAGACTACGATCTGTCGACCAAAGTTATTAACTTGACCCATCTAAATATGGCCGTGTCTACGGGGTGCATAATTTACGTAGAGTTCTAAAAAAAAAAAAATTTCCGAAACAATTCAAATTGTTCTTTGGCTTCGGAATATGGGTTCTTCGAACAAAAAGGTATACAAAATGCGACTTTATCTTTAGAGATGTGCAGAGGAATAGTCTTGTGGTCTATTGATTCTTTTCTTTTCTTTCTTTCTTGTGGTCTATTGATGACCACCTTCTTTATATAATATCGACACTAACAGGTTTGGTTTGGTTTATTTTTACGGCATATCAACACCTCAATGGGTTATTTAATGCCGACAACATTTTAGGATAGATTTGTTAACTACAAATTTAGAATTCTGGATCTTTGGTTTTAGATTGATTTTATTTTGTTTTTAGGCATGAATAATGAATATGTATTCTTTGGTTTAGATTGGTTTGGTTTATTTTGTTTTGCGGCATATCAACCTCAATGGGTTATTTAATGCCAACAACATTTTTAGGATATATTGGTATGAATAGAATATGTATTCTTTGGTTTAGATTGGTTTGATTTATTTTGTTTTACGGCATATCAACCTCAATCGGTTATTTAATGCCGACAACATGTTTAGGATAGATTCGTATGAATAGAATATGTATTCTTTGGTTTAGATTGGTTTGGTTTATTTTGTTTTACGGCATATCAACCTCAATGGGTTATTTAATGCCAACAACATTTTTAGGATATATTGGTATGAATAGAATATGTATTCTTTGGTTTAGATTGGTTTGGTTTATTTTGTTTTACGGCATATCAACCTCAATGGGTTATTTAATGCCGACAACATGTTTAGGATATATTGGTATGAATAGAATATGTATTCTTTGGTTTAGATTGGTTTGGTTTATTTTGTTTTACGGCATATCAACCTCAATGGGTTATTTAATGCCGACAACATTTTTAGGATATATTGGTATGAATAGAATATGTATTCTTTGGTTTAGATTGGTTTGGTTTATTTTGTTTTATGGCATATCAACCCCAATGAGCCACTCAATGCCGACAAAATGTTTTATTGCTGGTAACACATTGTTTCGTCAAAAATACGTCTCTGGTAATATTCCTCCCTCAAAATTGCATTGTTGGTAATAATCCTTCTCAAAAAGTAATAGTTAACTGGTAATAGTTAACTCTTTGTCCATAGCTGGAACCCTAACAGGTGCTACCATCCAGGGTCAGGGTGGACCTGGAAACACCAGCAATTAAGAGGTGGTACCACGCTCCCCAAAACCTCCTGATTAGAGGCCTTGCTGCTGGACGTAGTTTATCGTCTTACCCGGGACGTGGATGTAGTTCCACGTCTTACTCAGGACATACAAAGAGGATTGATACGGTTAAGGAATTGGTTAAAATCGAATTTAAGTTACTCGTCGTGTTCACCGGCAATTAAAAATGTAGCAGAAATAAGGAAAATGTAATTCCCTTGATTTGACAACAGCCAATCGCAAAGAACGGGGCGGGCAGACGTGCTTCTCTGCATGCCTTCAAATGCATCCAACTATTTTTCGAAAGAGTTAAATTTGATTTGAAGAAGAAACAGGGAAAGTTTGTCCATGAAGAGCAAGAAAAAGAAGAGAAAGAGAAAGGATGTTAAAAGGGGAAAAAAGATAAGAAAAGGAAAAAAAGAAATAAAAAAAAAAAGAACGGAGAAGAAAAAAGAACATATGAAAAAAGGTTATAAAAGCGGTAAGAAAAGAAAAAAAAGGGCGAATAAAAAAGAAAAAAGAAAGAAAAGAAAACAAAAAAGGAGAAGCAAAGGAAAAAGAAAAGAAAAGTAGAAAAGAGAGAGGAAAAAATAAAGGAAAAAAGGGAAAAGAAAAAAAAAGAGAGGAAAAAAAGAAAAAAAAAAAAAAGAAGAAAAAGAGGAAAAAAAAAAATGAATAGGAAAAAGAAAGAAAAACAAAAAGAAAAAAAGGAAAGAAAGAATAAGCGAGAAAAGAAGAAAAGGGGAAAAAGGAGATAAGCGACAATAGAGGAAAAAAAAAAGAAATTAATTAAGCGAGAAGAGAGGAAAAAGAAAGAAAGGGAAAAAGCGAGAAAAGAGGAAAAGGAAAGAAAGGAAAACAAGGTAAAAAAAAGTCAAAAGACAAGAAAAGAAAAAGTGAGAATTAAATAAAAGTAAACAAAAGAGAAAAGTGAGAAGTGAGGAAAAGGTGAGAAAGGATATAGCGAGAAAAAAAGGAAAAGAAAGAAATTAAAATCGAGCAGTAAAAGAAAGGGAAAAGCGAAAATAAGAAAAAAAGAAAATATGGAGAAGAAAGAAAGCACAAAGGCGAGAAGAAAAGGAAAATGAAAGAAACAAAACGCGTGAAGAAAAGGAAATTAAAGAAAGGGAAAAAGTGACAATGGAAAGGAAGAAAGGAAAAAGCGATGTGAAAAGGTAATTAAATAAAGAACTAAAAGAGAGTAGAAATGAAGAAAAAGAAAGAGAAAAGGCGAAAGGGAAAGTAAAGAAAAGAAAAAAATGAAAAGGAAGAATGAAAAAGCGAGAAGAAAGAAAGAAATGGAAGGAAAAGAAACCGCCGAGAAGAAAATTAAAAAGAAAGAAAGGAAAAGCGAGAAGGAAAAAGAAAAGCCTGGGAAAAAAGCGAGATGAAAGGGAAAAAGGAAAGAAAGAAGGAAAGCGAGAAGAATAGGAAGAAAAGAAAAAGCGAAAAAGGAAACAGTAAGAATTACGTTTTAAAAGACAAGCAGAAAAATGTTTGAAAGAAAACGAAAGAAAGGAAGATTTTAAAAGAAAGAAAAATAAAAAAAATTATCGGTAAAAGAAGAAAAAACGATGAAAGAGAATCTGTGAAAGAAAAAAACAAAAAATTGATATGAAGAACGAACGAATTATGAAAGAAGAAAGAATGAATAAGGTAAGAATTAAAAGAATTTACAATATTGTTGGTCCTGACCTAGCTCCTCGGCTGTCGTGACGTAGCTTCCCTATGCCTTTTCTATAAACACCTTTATGTCATTGGCTCTGATGAGTACCAAAATGTGATCAATTTAAGCAGCGCGCGAGATTGACAAGATCTCATCGTTTTGTACTTAAAATGTCTACATGTAACCGTAAATTCTTTGCAAACAGTTTCTTTTCTCGCACTTCTAACTTGTTGATCTCACTTTCGGATTCTTACTTTACAGCCATTTTGATCATCCAAAAATTAAATGTAATCCTTATCTACTGTCTTCCTGATTACTCTTCTATTGTTCTCACTCACTTCTCACTTGTGGAACACACGTCCAACTCCATGCTTTACAGCCAACTTTGATCTTCAAAAATTTAAATGCAATGTCAATCGTTATCTACAGTCTTCCTGATTACTCTTCTATTGTTCTCGCTCAAATCAAAACTTGTGGAACACTTCTTCCAACTCCATCCTTTACAGTAGAACTTTGATCTTCAAAAAATAAAAAATGCAATGTCAATCGTTATCTACAGTCTTCCTGATAACTCTTCTATTGTTCTCGCTCACTTCTCAATGTTTCTGTGGAACACTCTTCTAACTCCATGCTTTACAGCCAACTTTGATCTTCAAAAAATTTAAATGCAATGTCAATCGTTATCTACAGTCTTCCTGATTACTCTTCTATTGTTCTCGCTCACTTTTACTTGTGGAACACTCTTCCAATTCCATGCTTTACAACCAACTTTGATCTTCAAAAATTTAAATGCAATGTCAATCGTTATCTACAGTCTTCCTGATTTTATCTTCTATTGTTCTCGCTCACTTCTCACTTGTGGAACACTCTTCTAACTCCATGCTTTACAGCCAACTTTGATCTTCAAAAATTTAAATGCAATGTCAATCGTTATCTACTGTCTTCCTGATTACTCTTCTATTGTTTTCGCTCACTTCTCGCGTGTGAAACACTCTTCCGAAACATGCTTTACAGCCAAACCTTTAAAAATTTAAATGCAATGTCAATCGTTATCTACAGTCTTCCTGGTTAATCTTCTATTGTTCTCGCTCACTTCTTGCGTGTGAAGTACTCTTCCAACTCCATGCTTTACAGCCAACTTTGATCTTAACAAATCTTGATGCAATGTTCATCGTTATTTGCCATCTGCTATATTCTTCTTCTTTTACTGTTCTCGCTCCTTAATAATATCATCTTGTGTCTCAGCGGCTTTATTGCCTTGGTAATAAAGCAAAAAGAAAAAAAAAACAAATATAATGAATAAATCCAGAAAGAAAATAATTATAGTTGAAGAACTGAGAAGCAAATAAGAAAGGTTGAACAAAGTGTAGAATTTTTAGAGGTGGGGGTGGAAAGTTCTTGCAATAATTAGGAACGACAAGGAAACAAAATTTAAAATGACTAAACACATGAATGAACGAAATTAAAAATCAAATAAAAAGCGATGATTAGAAAGAAATTGGCGCCAACAATGAAATTAACAAATTGATCAGAGACTCTGACGTATCACCATCTTATTTATTTGTTTTCGTCTTTCATTTTTCAACCAATGAAATCTTGCCACATCACTCAACCTCTCCTTCCCGGTCTTTACAGACAAACTTTTTAGTTGTTTTTCTATTATCTACTTAACGGCTCTTCCTCCGATACAGACTGAGATTTTTTTCCTTTTCCCAAACGAGAACAGATTTTTTTTAATATACGTACTGTCCAATCGAACAAATGGATAAAAATCGGCGGTCTAAATGGCGGGTAATTGCCTATCTGTTCTTCTTAGCATCAAGTCCAAGATAGAGAAATTGGTCTTGTCAGATTCTTTAAAAATATGATTAAGATAAAGAAGAACTCTATGAAAGTGCTGGCCTATCCTAACGAAGATACCGTGTGTCGTAAAGTTTAGCACGGAAAGCAAACTCGATGATCAGTGTTCCATTTACGGTTAAGGCCTTTGATGTTGAATTTGCCTTGTGTCTTTGAAAATCCTGAATTATGATGGAAAGAAATGTTGCTGGACTGTCGTTAAGGCCAAAGCTAGATATATTTTGCTATCCGGAAAGATTGTACATTTTTTATCGTAGATTATTCATCACCGATATACAGGGTGACCCAAGAAAACGGGAATTTTGGAAGTGTGTATTGCCAGACATGAGCAAGTGGCAACACTGCGAGACAGTGACATTGAGCAAGGAAACATTTCGCCGTTTAGAATTCAAGATGAAATTCACAGTATCCCAGTTGAGATGTTACAGCAGTCAATGAGGAATCTCAACAGCAGATTTCAAGAATGCATTCGTACAGGAGGACGCCATCTACAGGATGTAATTTTAAAAAAATGAAAATTCCATCATTGTTTCTTAAATGGCATGTTTTAAGGTTTCAATTACTATGAATAAAATATTTTTCTTCCATCACTCTTGGTTTTATTGGATTGTTAAAAAGTTCCCGTTTTTTGGGGGGTCACCCTGTATATTACAGAATCCTCTGTTTTTATGATTCATGGTGATGTTTTTTTATTGCAGTGATTTTCATCCTTGACAAGGCTCGGGAGCCACTCGTGGTAGAGGGTTACAGAGTAACAGGCACAGTTAAAGCTGATATATCGGTTAGACTTAACAGGTTAATATTGTACTAAAAATAAACGGGGGAATGCCTCTTTTTTTCCATTGTTTCCACGGGTTTGGTCGGTTATGGGAGGAGCTACTTTGAGTGGAACTTACATCTCCCTAATGGAATACGAAGAGGATGAAGGTAGTTCGCTACAATTTACGTAGAACTGGTGTCGCTAAGGTGCGTAGTTCATCTGAACACTTCTCTAGAAATAGCGACCGAGCGGCGAAAGGCTTGCGAAGTTCGTCTGTGATGAAGACGATGTAAGGTGGAAAGAATTCATCACCCACAAAATAGCATATTCCCTCGTTTGTTTTTCCGTCTCACGAAATGTGGAAACCTCTGTCTTTATTTTTTAAGAATTGTTTAAAATATAGTCAAAGATAGCCAAAACAGGTAGCAGAATTTGTATTATGAATGATTCTAATTTTATAAACTGTAACGTTTACCAAATTTTTCATCCTGGAAGTGATATTTTGGTTAAATAGTCTCTCCTTCTCCAAGACGTATTTTCTAAGTAACAGCAACAATACTATTTTCAAGAGGTTTTGAAAGCATGGAACCACCTTTTAAATGTTGGTGTTTTTTTTCCACCCTGACCCAATCTACAATTTTTTAGTATTAACCAAATTATGGGCAAATAGTTAATGCCCCACTAAATTTTTTTTTTTTTGTTTTAAATGAAAGTGTAAAACCAGAAATACTTTGTAAAAAAAAATTATTACCAGCAATACATTTTTAGAAAAATAAAAACTGCCAGCGATACATATTTGAAGGAAAAATATTACCAGAAATAGATTTTTTAAAGGAAAAAAAATATTACTAGAAATAGATTTTTGAAAATAATTACAATAAAAATGTTGTCGGCATTAAATAACATACTGAGGTTGATATGCCGTAAAACAAAACAAAACCAAACTCTACTAATGCGTTTGTTCTTCAATCTGAGTTAAATTTGTTAAA